TTAATTGTCCCCTAAACCTATTAACTGGTTAAGCCACCCTGGTAGCAACAACTTTAATCAAGTGTTTTCAATAACTGGCAATGAGTCTTTCACATTGCTGTGGAGGAATTTTGGCTCACTCTTCTTTGCAGAATTGTCTTAATTCAGCCACATTGGATGGTTTTCGAGCATGAACAGCCTATTTAAGGTCATGCCACAGCTTCTCCATTGTATTTAAGTCTGGACTTTGACTAGGCCCAGGGGAGGACTGACCATTCGAACACTCGGGCACTGCCCAAGGGTCCAGGGTCAGTAGGGGGCCCCATGAAATGCCTCTGGTACCTTTTATAGACTTTTGTTTGAGTGTGGGTAAGGACACAGGGGCCCCATGATCCCCTATTGCCCGGAGGCCCCATGAGTTGTCAGTCTGCCCCTAACTAGGCCACTTCAAAACCTTAATTTCACTTTTTTTTTGAGACATTCAGAGGTAGACTTGTGTGTTTTGGATAATTGTCCTGCTGCATAACCCAAGTGCACTTGAGGTCACGAACTGATGGACATTCTCAGGATTTTCTGGTAGAGCACAGAATTCATGGTTTCATCAATTATGACAAGTCGTCCTGGTCCCGAAGCTGCAAACCATCCCCAGACCATCACACTACCACCACCATGTTTGACTGTTGGTATGATGTTCTTTTTATGAAATGCTGTGTTCTGAAGCTGCAAAGCAACCCCAGACCATCACACTACCTGAAATGCTGTGTTAGGTTTACACCAGATGTAACGGAACACAATCTTCCAAAAAAGTTCAACTCTTGTCTCATCAGTTCACAGAATATTTTCCTAAAATTCTTGGGGATAATCAAGATGTCTTTTGCAAACGTGAGATGAGCCTTTGTGTTCTTTTTGGTCAGCAGTGGCTTTAGCCATGGATGCCATTTAACACCCAGTCTCTTTGCTTTTTTTGAATCAGGAACACTGACCTTAACTGAGGCAAGTGTTGTTCTGGGTTCTTCTATGACATCCAGGATTAGCCATCGTCGTTGTGCTCTTGGAGTAATTTTGGTAGGCCGGCCATTATTGGGAAGGTTCACCTCCAAGTTTTCTCCATTTGCAGATAATGGCTCTCGATGTGGTTCGCTGGAGTCCCAAAGCCTTAGAAATGGCTTTGTAACCCTTTCCAGACTGATACATGTCAATTACTTTGTATCTCATCTGTTCTTGAATTTCTTTAGATTGTGGCATGATGTTTTGTTTTTTTAGCGTGCTTTACTTTTTCAGACAGCTTCTATTTAAGTGATTTCTTGATTCAACAAGTCTGGCTGTATTCAGGCCCGGATGTGGTGAGTGCAATTTAACTCGGCTTTCCAAAAAATTTGGTTAATCACAATTCATTCATGATTTAGCAAGGGGGAAAATTACTTTTTCACATAGGGCCAGGTAAGTTTGGACAGCCTTTTTACCTTAATAAATTAAAGCATTGTTTAAACACTGCATTTTGTGTTTACTCGGGTTATCTTTGTGTAATATTAACATTTGTTTGATCTGAATAATTTAAGTGTGACAAATATGCAGAAAAAAATTAGGAATGGGCAAGTACTTCTTCACAGCACTCTGTATTGCATTGTATGCACATTCCCTAGCTGCTTTGTTCATGATCGTTTTGTGGTCATTTTTCTAAGAATAGAGACAATTACTTTAAAAGACAGCTGACACTATCTTTAGTACATGCATATTTACTAATAAGATGGCCTGGACATCCAGTTTTCAGAGAAAAGCCTGTGTGATATTAGCCAGGGCCACACAGTGAAGATCGCTAGAACAGGGAGGAAGGTAAGTATGTAATCCCCATAGCATTTTCCTCATGCACTTGATTAAATTGGGTTGATTTACTAAAGGCCAATAAGCTGTTTAATTTGCAAGAGAATTTTCATTACCTTAGTGAATGTGGTGAAGCTCTGCTGATATCCATCATCCAATCATGTGCAAGCAAAAATACTGTTTTTTTTTAAATTCCTTTCATGCTTTTGGATAATCCTTGAAAAGTGACCTTTTATTACAATCACTAAGCTAAGGGAAAATTCCTTGCAAAGTGAACTGCCTATTTGCCTTTAGTAAAACAGCCCCATTATATGAACATACCTCAGTTACTACAAGTTCAAAGGATTAGGCTTCATTGGGCTTTTACCTCTGGCATTCAGGTTCAACGCCACTGCCAGCAGCCTAAAAATGCTCAATCTGAATAAGGCGCAATGTGTTTTTGTGGATTATTACAACAGCATTTATCAACTTTTTTCATTCAAGGCACCCTTTAAAATTCTGGAGGTACCCAGTTCTAAAATGTGAAAAAAGAAACAAATAGTATTATAGAACGCAGCAGCATTCACACATATATTGCACTCAACATTATAAATAATTTATTCCTCCAAAGCACACCTATGCACATTGGTACTAACTAGTATTCCAGTATTTCTCTTCTCCCTCAGTAAACTGATACATTCTGCTGGAGAGCTTTTGCATTTGCAGATGAAAATAGGAGAAAGTAAGCCTAAAAAATTAAAATGAATGCAGCTATCATGTCTAAGAATTGGTAAGTTGCAGTATAACAAATGTTTACCCTTGGGTTTAATACTGCTTTAAAGCGGAGTTCCAGTTGAATAAAAAAAAAGTCAGCAGCTCCAAAAACTAAAATACAGGCATTTACCTATCCCTTGGTCCAGCGGTGTCCTCACCATGGCTGGTTTCAGCGGCCATCTTCTCTCCTCAGCACTGGCATCTTCAGTGTGGCTTCAGTGTGGCTTCAGCGGCTTGTGGCTTCACAGCCGGGTGCCCACTGTGCATGAGTGAGAAGCGTTACTCTTTGTGAATGGCTCCGTAGTCTTCTGGGACCTGTCACATCTCCCAGAAGACTACGGGGAGGGAGGGGGGAGGACAAACTCCGCGTCCGATCACCTTCGCGGCAGAAGTGGGAGCAGGTACCTGTCAAATTTGGGTACCCGCTCCCCAAAGGTGCCAATCCTAAACGGGGAGCGGGGGACAAAGGCTTAAAGCAGAACGTTCCCTTTTCAGTGGAGCTCCGCTTTAAGGATACCTGTATTCAGTTATATAGGCTTCCTTATGATGCTGCTGTTTTGATAGAAAATACGACCTAAATCAGACATAAAAGGTAAGATTCTGAGCATTTTTTTCCTCAAAGGAGAAACCTTTTTCTTTGCAAACAAAGCTAATTGAAGGCTATAGCAAACAACTGTGGATTCTTTGGAGATGAACACCCATTCATGCTGAGCACTCCCTTTTGCTGTGCAATGATTTTTAGCTTTTATTCTATTAAAGAGTTAAGGTCACTGTCTGGTGCAGTCTGCTGTTTTCTTGTTACAAACTTAGCTGCACTTAGACAACATAAATTAAATCTATAACACTAACTGAAAGAATTCACACATAGAAGCAGGAAGAAGAGGTGCAAGGCTGCAAATCAGGGGTGCAATTTTCTTTCATGTCACAAAGCAACCCAACTCTAATTTACAAATACTGTTAGTGATAAATGATACATTTATTTGGTTGCAATTCTGCAGATGAAGAGTCATTCATGGCATGTGTAGCGCCACCCCCTCAAGAACAGCTGAGGATTATGGGTTCCCCATTCACTTCTGAGCCCTGGCCGAAGCACAACCCCCTGCTGACACCACCAGGGCCCTCCTATCCCTCTTGTATTTTTTTTTTTTAATTTAAATATTTATTCGTTTTTCATATTATTACAAAAAATCTATAAGAAGAGACACAATACATATAAATATTCATTACATTTCTACTTTACCCCTTCTAATAACTCTTTTCTTTCCCTCCCCTCCCAACCCATTCCCACCCCCCTTCCCCCTCCCTCCCCTCTGCAAGTTCTCCAATCTCTCGAGGCCTAATAACTTTAAATAACTTCCTAGTTTAAAGTTTTCTATATTTCTCTTTCAATCCTGATTTTTCCCATTTTTTCCCATCTCGTATAGTGTACTCCCAACCTGTCTTCCTGCATATGGTAAGATTTTTCCATTCTACTAATCTGATTTACTCTATTGATCCAGTCTTCCTCCTTCGGCACCTCTGTTTTCTGCCAAAACTTGGGTATCAAACCTTTTGCAGCATTTAAATAGTACCATACGCCTGATTCTTTATATTTATTCACTGTTATCTCAACATTATGTAGGAGACACATCGTTGGGTCTAACCCTATGTCATTTCCAGTTATTATTTCTATCAAATTAACTATTGTCTTCCAGAAAGCCTGAATTTTCGGACATTGCCACCATATGTGAAACACCGTGCCCTTCTCCCCACATCCTCTCCAGCACATTTTTGAATCCTCCCCATCTATCCCTCTTGTATTGAACTGTATTGTTGCTGAATTGTCTCCCGTTATATTGTAAAGCGCTGAGCAAACTGTTGGTGCTATATAAATCCTGTATAATAATAATGTACACAGTGACTCCACACAGGAGAAATAAAAGTACAGCACAATAGTACAACACAATACCACTTTAAAAAGCCCCAATTGTCCGGCAGGACTCAGAGTTTAATCAGAGCTCTCCTACTAAAAGAATTTTCCCCAAACAAACAGAAAAGGAGAGATTAAGAATGTTAGGCTAGCTTGCTTGTGGACTCCCAGTAACCAGAACCAGTGTTTAAAGTGGTAGTAAAGTCTGTTTTTTTTACTTGTACCTACAGGTAAGCCCATAATAAGGCTTACCTGTAGGTACTATACGTGTGTAGCAGCACTGGTACATGCACTCTGATAGAACAGAATGCCCACGCTGTTCCTTCAGAGCTTTGCTCTGTAAAAAGTGACTCCCGAGCTTCGGATTGACGTCATTGGCCAATCAAGCAGCTGGAGCCCACAAACTTGGAAGAAAGATCGAGTGAAGATGGAAGCCCTGTCAGTGGTGTCAGCGTGCCGCTAGAGGACTTTTTAAGGAGGAGGACATTTTAAGGTAAGTTTAACGTAATGTGCTAGTCAGGGGCGGACTGACAACTCATGGGGCCCCCGGGTAATAGGGGATCATGGGGCCCCTGTGTCCTTGCCCAAACTCAAAAAAGCCTATGAAAAAGGTACCAGGGGCATCTCATGGGGCCCCCTACTGACACCGGGCCCCATGAGATGGGGTGTGCCCGAGTTTCCAAATGGTCAGTCCGCCCTGGTGCTAGTATGCGATGCATACTAGCACATTATGAAATTGCTTTGCAGGGGAAAAGTTGTTTTTTTTTTTTTTGCATGATCAGGTCTACTACCGCTTTTAACTCTCTGAGGGTTTTGATAAGTGAAAAGACCCATAAAAATCACACAATCTGGGAAAGACTCTTCTGTCGGCTTTGGTGGAGCTCCTTACATTGGTGCACAGTGGAGGTGTAATCCCTTTTCTTTATGAGAAAATGTCACTTCCCTAAAGATGATGACACAGCAAGCAGAGTTCCCCCTTAACAAATGCATGATCAGGTCTACTACCGCTTTAACTCTCTGAGGGTTTTGATAAGTGAAAAGACCCATATAAATCACACAATCTGGGAAAGACTCTTCTGCCGGCTTTGGTGGAGCTCCTTACGTTGGTGCACAGTGGAGGTGTAATTCCTTTTCTTTATGAGAAAATGTCACTTCCCTAAAGATGATGACATATCAAGCAGAGTTCCCCTTTAACAAAGGCATGATCAGGATCAGGAAGTGGATTACTACCACTTTAACTCTCTGAGAGTTTTGGTAGGCAAAAATACCTATATAAATCACGCAATGCGAGAGACTCTTCTGCCGACTTTGGTGGAGCTCCTTACATTGGTGCACAGTGGAGGTGTAATCCCTTTTCTTTATGAGAAAATGTCACTTCCCTAAAGATGATGACACAGCAAGCAGAGTTCCCCTTTAACAAAGTCAACAAGCTGGGAGTGTACTTTGAGCCTGGGTTCACACTGATGCAGTGCGGAATTGGCAGCGTTCTCTGTGCAAATTCCGCACCGCATCACAATCGCACCCCGTTCTTGCGAACCGCTGCGGGTGTGTATATTAAGTTAACAACACCCCAAAATCGGTCCGCAAAACTCGATGTGCAGAATACCCATGCGATTCGATTCTAGTGCAGATCAAAAAATTGGTCCTGCACCTTTTTGGTGCGGATGCAGTGCGATTTCAGCCATACAGAATGTATGGCTTCAACCGTACCGCATACAATTCGCATGTGATTTGCGCAGGAACCGCACAGCGCAAGTGTGAACCCAGGCTGAATGTGTCAAAAAGGGTATGATGGTTATCCAAACTGAAGAGGGATGGGAGCAGAATTTAGCAGAAGTATGTCCCTTAAGTGCGACACTGGCTGGTGGAACTTGTTTCTTCTTTGGACAGATTAGGTAATATGCTTTTACTTTTTACAGTTCCTGGCAATCGGGGAAGCAGAAACTATTAAGGCTGATATACTGTGTGCAGTATTTAAATGGGCTACTAGTATAGATGGGCTGCAGCACTGATTGGGCTACAGAGTCTGTATCTCTATGTTGCAGTCTGTATTGTAAGAATCCTAAACCGCAAAACAAAAATAAAAAAAAAATGTCCCCTGCAAAATAAGAGCATAATGTGTTAGTATCAGGGGCGGACTGACAACCCATGGGCCCCCGGGCAATAGGGGAACATGGGGCCCCTGTGTCCTTGCCCAAACTCAAAAAAGCCTATGAAAAAGGTACCAGGGACATCTCATGGGGCCCCCTACTGACCCCAGGCCCTCGGGCAGTGCCCGAGTTTCCAAATGGTCAATCCGCCCCTGCTTCATATACTAGCACGATATGAAAGACTAACCTGAAAACGAAGCCCTCCAGCAGTATGCTGTCACCTCTGTAGAAACTTACATCTTCACCCGGTCTTCCTACCGGATTTGCAGGCTTTCCTGATTGACTGATGGAGCCGCAACTCCCACGCATGCACGTGGGAGTCACAGCTGCAGCACAGCTCTCTCTCTCTCTCTCTCTCTTTCAATGGACGGCACTCCATGCGCTGGTGACATCACCGGCTGCTACTATAGTAAATATCTCCTAAATGGGGCACGTTTAGGAGACATTTACTGTATCTACAGGTAAGCCTTCTTTTAGGCTTACCTGTAGGTATAACTAAACAATGGGGCTTTACTACCACTTTAACCCCCTTAGCGGTATTCCCGAGTGTAGCTCGGGGTTAATTATCAGTGCCAAAAGCAGTAAGCCCGAGCTACACTTGGGATTACCCTGCATTGATCCCTCTGGGATCCCAATTTCACTTACCTTGTCCTGCGCTCCCGCGATGTCCCCCCTGCAGCGTCCCCGGCCATCTCCTACGGCCGATGCTGGCATCTGTCTTCTGGGTTCCGGTCCTTGTGAGCGTCGGGACGTACAGGGGACGGAACGGCGGGAAATTTAAAAATTTTAAAAAGTGACATTCACTAAATACACTAAAATCACATAGTATAACATTCCTGTATCAAACCATTTCACATACATTTTGTCCCGAGTGCTTTGTCCTGTGCCCTGCCTGCATTTTTACTGTTCTTTCTGCCTGGAAACCGAGAAATGTCCATGGCGTCCAAAAAGTGTCCCTTTAGGTCAAAAGCGGTTTTAGACCGGCTAGAGAACAGCGATAGTAAATCAGAACCACTTGCAGAATTGAGTGATAATGATTCGCGGGGAAATTCGTCATCAGATACTGAAAACGATTTTGCGACTTTGCTCAGTGATGTGCGAACTTGGCGCTCTATTTCAAATTTCAGTGTTTTTGGTTTGATTATATTATTGAATTAAATGTATTATTATTATATTATTTTTTATGATTATTTATTATATTATAGTTTATGATTTCGTGTTTCAAATTTTATCATACCCGGGATGTTTACTAGACTCTTGTTAAAACAGATTTCAGTGAGTTATTCCTAAAAATTACAGGCCTACAACAAAAAAAACGCCAAATTTCCATGCAAAAAAATGTACCGCTTTGAGCACAGAAATATTGACATAATCAGACCGCTAGGGAGGTTAAGTAACCGGCAACAACAACTATGGAAATAGTAACATGTTGAGGTGTGGTATGGGCTAGGAACCTTCTCGCCTGTCCTTCGAAGCAGATCTGTGAAACAATGACCTTGCTGCTGGGGGGCTTCTCTCACTGTCTTCCTGTGGAGATAGTGGTGGCGATGGCGATGACCCGATCCACTTGCATGCATGATTGACAATCCTGACTCTCATTATGATCAGCAATCTCGAAATCCCCTTCTCAGCCCTCTGGTTCAATCCGATCCAGCCTGTGGTCTCCTGGATCAGCACTCTGTTCTCACACACATCCTACTTCTCTCTCTCTGTCTTCTCCTCTGCTTTCCCCTTTTATATGCTCCTGCCCCTTTACTCACTAACTTGGGATGTGTAGTTCTATTTTAGCTAAACTGAATGAAGAAATCCTGCTTGCAGCATATATGTTCCAGCATTCTCAGCATTGCTGTACGATTTCCTATGTAACAGCCTGCTACAATGCAAGTTGCAGGATGTTAAGAGAAACACAAGCTGGCAGTGTCCTGCAGTTCATTAGCACTCATACTCTGTAGAACAGCCCCCCGTTGACCTTGCATGCTGAACCGCAGGACTTTGTTGGGGAGCACTGTATCAGAAAACTACATTTCCCAGAGTAGCTGGCGTGTGGGTGGCACTGCACCCTAGGCAGCTCCTGCACACTCCTGGAGGACGTAACACGTAGGGAGGGGCCTCGGAGGTGACGCCACCACGTAATGGATGAGCTGCCGTTGTCTGCTTACACCAGAGCAATACCTGTCATAGTGATTGTATATGCCTGTGATGCTAGTGTCAGCTCTGACACTGATCTATGCGAGTTTTAAATACGTTTTGCATTCAATAAAGCCTGGATGGTTTTACACTAGGTTCATTCTTTTTTTTCTTTCTCCGTGCCCCATTCTGGTTATATGAGGAATAAGTGCTATCTGAAGGAGTTTGTGAGTATTTGAGGAGCAAGTGCTATTTGAAAGTATCTATGAGGAGCCAATTACTATTTCAAGGATTTCTCATCAGCTGGTGTGTGTTGCTGCAGATCATTGCTCCCAGAGCACAAGTATAGCTGGTTGTTATCTTACCAGCATGGAGCTCTGGTGAGTGAATCCAATTCATTTGGTGATGGATTTTTCAGGTTTTTTGCACATTATATGAGAAGCTAAAGAAGCTTTATTGGTTCATGAACTTATTTATTCATTTTTTAGACACATTTTTATTTTTATAATGTTTGGCACATGTTTTTATTATTAATTATTTTTTTATTGGACACTGTTCATATATTTTTTATTGATTTTGTTCACTAACTGTTCTATTGATCTTTATTGATTTTGTTGCTATATTCATTTTTTAATATACATTTTTCACATTACATTATTGCTTGTGTTCACTCACCTATAATATCTAAAAATATATTCATTTGAAGAGCGCTGCTTTAATTGTGTTCCATTGCCCCTGCACACTGCTTTGTATGGCTCTGCATACATAGCAGAGCCATACATAGCAGAGCCATACAAAGCAGTGTGCTTACAGTGAAGCACACACACAACCCAAGTAGTGAAACAGCACACGGTTAACCCTTACAAAGCAGCATGTCTCCCTAGTAAAACAGCACTCAGTGTCAGCACAACACAGCAAACAATTAACCCTTTGATTGCCCCAGATGTTAACCCCTTCCTGCCCAGTGCCAATAGTACAGTGTCAGTGCTTTTTATTAGCACTGAATACTGTATTGGTGTCACTGGGGATGTCAGTGACACCAAGTCAGTTCCCCCCCAGTGTTAGAATGCCCGCCGCAGTCCCGCTATAAGTTGATGATCGCCACCATTACTAGTAAAAAAAAAAAATTCCAGTATCTATACCACCATTTGTAAACGCTATAACTTTCACATAAACCAATTAATTTACACGTATTGGGATTTTTTTTTTAGCAAAGACATGTAGCAGAATACATTTTGGCCCAAATTTATGACAAAATTAGATTTTTTTACATTTTTTATTGGACATGTTTAATAGCAAAAAGTCAAAAATATTTTTTCCCCAAAATTGTCAGTCTTTTTTTGTTTATAGATCAAAAAATAAAAAAAACGCAGAGGTGATCAAATACCACCAAAACAAAAGCTCTATTTGGGGGAAAAAAGGACATAAATTTCATTTGGGTGCAACGTTGCATAACCGTACAATTGTCAGTTAAAGTAACGCAGCGCCGTAACGCAAAAAATGGCCTGGTCAGCGAGGGGGGAAAATCCTCAGAAGGGCAAGTGGTTAATAGCAAAAAATATTTTTTTTTTTTCTCAAAATTGTTGGTCTTTTTTTATTTATAGAGCAAAAAATAAAAAACGCACAGGTTATCAAATACCACCGAAAGAAAGCTCTATTTGTGGGCGAAAAAAAGGACACAAATTTCATTTTGGGTGCAACGTTGCATGACCGTACAATTGTCAGTTAAAATAACGCAGCGCCGTAACGCAAAAAATGGCCTGGTCAGCAAGGGGGGTAAATCCTCAGGAGGGCAAGTGGTTAATAGCAAAAAAGTAAAAAAAGTGTTTTTTTTTTCTCAAAATTGTCAGTCTTTTTTTGTTTATAGTGCAAAAAATAAAAAATGCACAGGTCATCAAATACCATCGAAAGAAAGCTCTATTTTTGTAGATTGTAAGCTCGAAAGAGCAGGGCCCTCAATCCCCTCACGTTTTGCATTGTATTGGTATTGTTCTGTCACATGTTTTGTCCCCCTTTGTAATGTACAGCGCTGAGCGAACTATTGGCGCTTTATAAATACTGTATAATAATAATTTGTGGGGAAAAAAAGGACGTAAATTTCATTTTGGGTGTGGCGTTGCATGACCGCGCAATTGTTAGTTAAAGTAACGCAGCGCTGTAATGCAAAAAATCAGGAAGGGGGGTAAATCCTCTGGAGGGCAAGTGGTCAATATATTATTATATCTAATGTATTTTAGTCACTTCGCTGTGTTGATCCTTTTTGCCAAAATTCATACTACTCATTGCACCTGCTCAAGAACTCTTTATTTATTGTAGCAGTCACAGTTCTGTACCTGGGGATTTAATCTGAGCTAAATACTTCAGCAAATATTATTTCATGTGGTTTCAAACTGTTTTCAACATTTTATTCCAAACACTTTATTACAAATGCGTGAAAAAATAATGTGACAAACATCATCACAAAATTGCATTTGCACGCTTGTAATTTGTAAATGACCCGAGAAATGTTAACAGTTGTTTAAATTTGCTGTTGAAAAACATTCCTATAGAAAGGAACATCTACTGCAGTCTTGTATTTAAACATTTAATATGTTTATTTATAATGAGGACACATTGTATCGGGTTTAGTGTAGGAATATTGTGGCTGGCGAACGGCATGCACACATGTACAAAATGGAAATGCAGATCAGGAATCTGGAGCATGTACTGAACTATATTTAGAAAAGTATAAATCTACAGCAGTATGAATACAATGCCAGCAGCATTAATTTGACATGAAGCATTTGAACAAAATCCCTAACAGAAGTGAGTTTGTTGTAATGAATAAATGTGAGTGATTCCGTTATCAGGTTAGCTGCAGTAGATAAAGTAACAGTGAATTGGTATTTTTTTTTTTCTGTTGGACATAGACATGGGAATTCTCATTTTGACGGTGAAGCAAATCTTTCAGCTTCCAGCCCTAAAGTAGTAATACATATTTTTTGTTTAACACCAAACTTTCTAGACAAAGGGCCAATTTACTGTCCTTC